GTACGTACGTACTACGTACGACGTACGACGTAACGACGAACGTCGACGTACCGTACGTACCGACCGACGGACGACGAGGAAGACGAGACGAGAGACGAGAGGGGGGGGGGGGGGGGGGGAGCCTGGGAGCCTGTGACGGAGAAAAAGCAAGCAAGAGAAAGGGTGACAGGCAAGATCTCTTAGTGTCCCCTCTCTTCCCAGGAGGGCGAGGCTCTCCTAGCACAAAGCCACCCTTGGGCGGGAGAGGTCTCCCAGAAGCTGCGGGAGTTGCAGGAGCACTGGGAGAAGCTGAGACAGACGGTGGCTCTCCGGGGCCGGGACCTAGAGGACAAGCGGAACTTCTTGGAATTCCTGCAGAGAGTAGATGGTGCAGAGGCCTGGATCCAGGAGATGGTGAGACCCAGCTGAACAAGGACAGAGCCAGGGTGGGGCTGTGGGGCTGACAGGTTGGGGAGGGAGCCCCAGGCCTGCAGCTCCCTGCCTGATAGGAGGGAGCCCCAGCAAGAAGTTCCCAAAGCCTCCACCTGCCCCTACACTGCCCCAGCAGCTGGGTGCCTGAGGGCTGGGTGCACCTGGGCCCGGATGCTCAGAGTGCAGCCTTCCAGACACTTGGCCTCCACAGGAGGTGACGGTGGACATCGGCGACCTGGGCCAGGACCTTGAGCACTGTCTGCAGCTCCGCAGGCAGCTCCACAAGTTGCCAGGAGTCTGGGCCGGGGTAAGGGGGCCCCGCTGGGGAGAGGTAGGCCAGTGCATCCCCGCATTGGGAAATGCAGCTCAGAGCAGTGACCGAGCACGGGCTCTGGGGCCAGATGTGAACTCTCGTGTTGGCTTTGCGCTTACAACCTGCACATGCTTAGGCAGGTGCCCTCACCTCTCTGAGCCTCAGTTTCTTCATCTTTAAAATGGGGCTACTGCTTACCTCATAGGTAAGGGAGCCTGTATGTGTGATGGTGGTGGTTACACGAATCTGTATATATAATAAAACTGCCTAGAACTATGCCACCCACACACACAGATGTGTGCATGTAGAAACTGATGAAGTCTGAATGAAGTCTGTAGTTTAGTTAACATTTGTACTGAAGTCAGTGTCCTGGTTTTCATATTGTACTGCAGTTACATAGGATGTTAACCATCGTGGGTAGCTGGGTGAAGGCGACATGGGACTTCTCTGTACTACTTTTGCAATTTCATGTGCATCTGCAATTATTTCAAAATTTTAAAATAAGGAACACACACGTCTGGGCATAGTGGACAATCAAAAAACTGCAGCTGCTCGTTCAGCACCTCAGCACCTGCTCACCCCCCTGCCCCAGACACACAATCCAAAAATCTATTTTCCTTATAAGGTATAGAGGAAAGAAATTGGGTAAATGTTTCAGAATCAAATGTTAGAGCCTAAACACGCCAACTTCACCCCCTGAGGTAAGTATGTATGACTTTTTAAAAGCTGCAATGCTCTGATCTAAGATAGCCTTTGCTAATGGTGGAATTTCGCAGCCACTGTGCCAGATGCCGTAGTAAGAAGAGCATTAGATACACTTGAGGAGCTGGGCTTGAGTCCTGCCTGTGCCATAAGTTCACCATGTTAGCCTCTGAGCTCTGCTCTGGCTTCTGTAAGAGAGAGCAACCCCCTTCCCTGCCCACCCCGTCTGAGACACCTATTGGGAAGTGCTGTGAAAACGCAGACCAATGCAAGATGCTTTTACAGCGGAAGGATGCCTGCCATCCCACCCAGTGCCACAGACCCCCTCCCCATGTACCCAGGAGCCCCACCCAGTGTCTAAGCAGTGGCAGCCGAGGCCCGGTGACTCCCAGGGGTGGGGACACCCAAACCCCAGGGGGCTGGCACTCACCATTTCCTTCTACACATTCTTTGCTTTTCTTATCCTGAGAAGCTTCATTACAACTTTGAAAGCTTCTGTTCCTCTGTGCATGCCTGCCTTCTCCCTCCTGCCTGGTCCTGACCTGGGGAGCATTTTTTCCAGCCTTAGAGACAGCCCTGGGGCTACAATCCCCAAGTGGATCTTCCTCACTGCACCCGGCATGGGGTGGGCTGTCCACAGCTGAAGCAGCAGCTGCCTCCACTCCCCAGACATGTTATTCCTCATGCTCTTCTGGGACCAAGCAAACCCTCCAAGTGCTGACTGCAGTGCAGAGAAGGGTCTCAGAGTGGGTGCTGCCAATGCCCTCACCCTGCACCCCCCACAGGACACGGTGGATGACGCCCGCATCAGGATTATCAACGACTTGTCACTACAGCTCAAGAACCGGGACCCCGAGCAAGTCAAGACCATCTGCCAGCGGCGACACCAGCTCAACAGCAGGCCAGTCTCTGAGCCGGAAGCAGAGGGGCTGGAGACGGGGCTGGAGACGGGCTGGAGGGCCACCTCAGACTCAGCCTTACACCCTCTCTGCCAGGTGGAACAGTTTCCATGGCAACCTGCTCCGGTACCAGCAGCAGCTTGAAGGAGCTCTGGAGATACATGCATTGTCCCAAAAGCTAGGTGACATCACTGAGCTGATTAGGGAGAAGGTAAGCGATGGAAAAGCCGGTTCAGCCCGGGAGCCAGTGCCGCCTGAGTCTCTGCATCTCTCCCCTCATCCGCCTCTCCTCTTCAGCTGGGTACTGGGAGGCACGTCCCGCCAGGGGGCCATCAGGGGGTCTTCCAGGAGCTCTCGGGGTCAACTCTGGACCTAGAAGCCCCCATTGCATGCTCGGAGGCTGGCCCACCTGGCTCCTTTCTCCCTCAGAAGCACTGTGTCCAGAGGCCAGAGGACCCCCCCACCACATACTGTTTCCTCTGTTGTCCCTGAGCAAGGCCAGAACCCACAGGAGGTTTGCCCGGGGATTGTGTCAGCAGCCACAGAGAAACATGGCCTAGGTGCTGGCAGAGGCCGGAGTGGAAGAGTGGTCTGCAGCCTGAGAAGCCCCCCAGGAAGCAGGTGGTGCCCTGTTCTGGGCACGCAAAGGGCTCTTGCCAGCTGTTCCTACCGCCCCTCTGGTTCCTGCCTCAGCCAGGCCAGTCCGTGCACAGTCCTCGCAGAGGAACGAGAGCAAGTGAGACAATGCATGTGGAGGCACCACCGGTGGAGGGTACTAACTCCAGCTCAAGTCCCTCCTGGGAATCTTCCCCCTTCACAAAAGGAAGGGCCCTCTGGTCAGGGTCAGCGTCCTGCTCCAGCCCACGGAGGACACTGAGAAGGGAATCAGGCTGGGCGCTTGCTTCCCACACAGAAACCCTGTTGCCAGTGACCCATCTGCCATGAGGGAGGAGCTGAAGCAAAGGCCACTGGTAACACCCCATTCCTCTCCAGGCCACCCTGGTCCAGACCCTGGACTACGGGAAACATCTGGATGGTGTGCAGAGGCTGATGTGGAAACACAAGCAGGTGGAGCAGGAAATGGGCCTCATCCAGGAACAAGTGGAGGTGTGCAGCTGGGTGCGGAGGTGGGCCCGGGCCCAGGGGGACCTCCGCTGTGGGACCCTGGGCAGGCATGTGGCGGCAGGGTGGGGGTCAGGACCTCAAGAGCCAGCCAGATCCACTCAGCTGCACACCACAGGCTGGGGCCTCCTGCAGCTGGGGCTCCCCTGAGCACAACCTGCCTCCCTGCCCCAGCCCCTGACCCTAGCTTCCCACACAGCCCCTAGAGCGTGAGGTGGGCCGTCTCTGCCAGAGAAGCCCTGGGGCAGCCCACAACCTCAGCCTCAAGCAGCAGGAGATGATGGACAGCTGGTGGCAGCTCCGGAGCAGGGCCCAGAAGCGGTACAAGCCCTGGGGCCTCTTTCCCTCACTGCCCTCGTGGACCCGTCCCCTGCAGCAGCCCAGTCCCCAGACTGCCCCTAAGAGTCTTCCTCTGTCCTTCCAATAACCATCTGTATTGTCACCATATTAATTCCCAGCCCATGGGCCCTTTCTTTGGCTGAAGGGATTCAGGGAGAGAAGGCACCTGTGGGCACAGGGGGAAAGAGGGGCTCGGAGGCCCTGGGACTAGCTAATGACCCTGGTGGACAGGAAGGACTCGCTGGATGCCTTGCACCAAGCTCAGAAGCTGCAGGCAATGCTGCAGGAATTGCTGGTCTGGGCCCAGAGGCTGCGAGCTGACATGGATGCCCGAAGCACCCCACGCAGCCTTGCGGAGGTCCAGCACATGCTGCAGGAACAGCAGGAGTGCAAGGTGAACAGCCCAGGCCCCGGGGCCTTTCTTGGGATCTCACGTCCTCCCTGGCCTCCCCTTTGCTGTGATCCCAATTTTCTCTTGGGTTCTTTCTGTATCAGCTGCCTCTGCCTTTCACCTCTTCCACCCTAACCCCCTCAGCTGTCTTCCCCACCTCTCCTCCTTCCCACTGGGCCTCTTCCCTCCCACTCAGGGAGCCTCAGCCTCTGGGATCTGAGCCCAGTCCTCTTACAGGCCGAGCTGGACTCCCGAACAGACAGCATCAGCCTGGCCCGAAGCACCGGGCAGCAACTGCTTGCCACCGGGCACCCAGCCACCCCCGACATCCGCCAGGCCCTGGCTGGTTTAGACCAGGAGCTGAACAGCCTGGAACGGGCCTGGCAGGAGCACCAGCTCCAGCTGCAGCAGGCTTTGGAGCTGCAGGTAGGCAGCCTTCATCCCAACTCCACCCCTGAGGCCTATGCTAAACCCACTGCCCCTGGTCAAAGCCAAAGCCAGAGAGACTGCTGTACCAGGGGCTTTTCCCACCACCTACCACGCACCACTCAGCTCGTGCGCTGCAAGTCTTCCTGCAGTGGGCTCGTTCTGTTAAGCCAGGCCCCAGCAGCCTGGTTTCCCCACTGGGAACCCCAACAGGCTCACTCTCCCTGAACCCTCTGCTCACTTCCTCTTGCCTTTTTCCTTTTCTTTTTCAACAGCTAGTTCTGAGCTCTGTGGAGCAGATGGAACATTGGCTCTGCAGCCAGGAAGACTGCCCAGCCAGTGAGGGTCTAGGGGTAGGTGCCCAGCAAGAGTGAGGGAGGGTTTGCAAGAGCAGCATTAGAGATCAAGGCAGACAGTGCTGCCTGAGCTCCCAGGCCAAGGGCATCTCCCAGCCCTCAACCACAAGCAGTTGCTTACCCATCCATCACTGGTGACGGTTGTGCACCAGGAGGTGCCGTGGGAGCTTGGAGGGTGAGTGTGTGGCCCTGGACACATTCTTGCCTCCTTCCCAACATGCTTCTCACCTCTGCCCTTCTTACTTCCTTACACCCAGATGTTTGTTTTTCCCACCACCGTCCCAAGCTCTGTGGCAGGAGGGCCTGACCCATGAGGGCGCTCAGAGAATAATCAGGGCTGACTCGCCCTGTGCTGACATAGCCTTACTGGGAGTGCAGAGGAGGGGGTGTCCCTGTTATGTGGAGAAGCTCCACCTGCTCTGGAAATTCTGACTCTTGACCCATGCTTGGTTGAGAATCACTGCCCTAAAGCCAGATACGGCCTGGAGGGATTCGGGGGATGTGTTTGATCAGATGGTTTAGGTGGGAAAGCAGATAGCTTGGGAGGAGGAGGGGCAGCCCTGTGGACAGCATCAATCCCCAGGACTCCCCGGCCAACGTGGAGACCCTGCTGTGGAAGCACAAGATGCACGAACGGGAGCTGGAGGCACGGGCCGACAAGATCAGCGCGCTGGAGGCCGCCACCCGCAGCCTGCTCCAGGGTGGACAGCCCGAGGCCCAGGGCGCCCTGGGCCGGTGCCAGGCCATGCTCCTGAGGTACAGCGGCTCTGGGGCTAAGGGGTGGTGGGTGGGCTGGCACGAATGTCTGGCTCTTGCCCGGCTCTTCTGCCTGTTAGCATGGGCTCCCAGCATTTTCCGGGTGCTGAGGTTGGATGCCAGGACCCCACCACTCCTGGCCCTGCAGTGTGTCAGCCTGCTGAGTCACACAGCACATGGTCACCCAGCTAAGATAAAAGGGACTTTTACAGAGCAGCATATAGTGAGAAACTGAGAGAGAGATGACCTCATGGGATGGCGATACCAGAGCACAGTCGTTAGACAGCTGAGTTTCTGTGCTGCCCACCCATGGTGGGACTTGTGGCAAATTTCTCATGGAGTCTCATGTCTACCATGAGAGGGTAACAGTACCTGCCTCTTAGGGTTGTGGTGAGGATGGGAAAGGGACCCTTGATGTCCTGACGCAGTGCCTGACAGTCACTTGGCAGATTTCTTATGCTCATGTAACTGAAGCTGGCGTAGCTATGAGCTCTGCCTTTTTCCCTCGTAAAATCCCATCTGGTTCAGCTGCCCCGTCCAGCCCCTCAGACCAAGGCATATTTGGCCAAAAGCTAGATCTCAGATTGGCAGGGGTCTCCCTCCTTCCCAGAGAGCCCACCAAGGCCCACAATGCTTGTGGCTCCTGTGCTGGAGCCCTGGAGGCCACCCCCTCCTCTTCCCTGCAGGTGGACCCCACCTGGCTACCTGAGGTCTTTGACTGACAGATGGCAAACGTTGGTGTGCTGGTCTCTGTCAACACTCCCTCCCCCTAGTCCCCTTAGGTAGTTCCTGGCAGACCTGGCTGCCCCCCAGGACAGTGCCACCCTACCCCCTCCCTCTCAGGCTCCTGGCATCCTCTGAAGCCATTTTCATTCCATCAAGACTCTGCATCTCCCCTGCCCCCAGCCCCCTTTGGCAGCCCCAGCAGGAGGACACAAGCATTCCCACTAACGCCAGCGTCGGGGCTACACTGGTGGGAGGTGTGTGTGCACCCTGGTGGGGTGAGGGTGAGGGGTGTTAGAACTTCTTTTCCTCTTTAATAGATCTCACTTCTGATGTCTATTTTTGCGCATATGGCAATGGACTTACTATATTTGTACAGAAGTACACACACATATAAATCAGTACAAATATACACACACGCACACTTACAAATACATCCCAACGAAGTCGCACTAATAGCAGTGTCTGATCAAAAAAGTGATGTAGACACTGAATTAGTTTGCTAGGGCTGCCATAACAAAATATCGCAGACTGGGTGGCTTAAACAAGAGAAGTTTATTTCTCATAATTCTGGAGGCTAGAAATCCCAAGATCAAGATGTCAGCAGCGCTGGTTTCTCCTGAGGCCTCACTCCTTGCCTTCACACGGTCTGTCCCTGTGTGTGTGTGCCTGTGTGCTAATCCCTTCTTATAAGGACACCCATTGTATCAGATTAGGGCCCAACCTAATGACCTCATTTTAACTTAATTACTTCTTTAAAGACCTTATCTTCAAAAACAGTCACATTCTGACATACTGAGGATTCGGACTTCAACCTAAGAATCTGCGGGGACACAATTCAGCCCATAACAGGCACTAATGAAGAGGGGAAGTAGGGTGTGTCTCTATTTCAAAGGAAAGCCCAGGGGTGGGGTATAGATCAAGCGGTAGAGCGTATGCTTAGCATGCATGGTCTTGCGTGAGGTCCTGGGTTCAACCCCCAGTAACTCCTCGAAATAAGTAAACCCAATTACCTCCCCCCACCTAAAAAAAAAAAATTAAAGAAACAAAGGAAAGCCCAGACTCAGGGTATATTGATCCACAAGAAGGGCTGGAAGGGCACGCATGTGCACGCATGTGTGTATGTGTGCACACTCATCCCCGTAGCAGCTCCAGGTCCCAGTGAAAAGACCTGAGGCCCCTGACACCCTCCTTCCGGCAGGAAAGAGGCACTCCTGGAGCGAGCCAGGACCCGTCACCGCCAGCTGGAGGAGCTCAGGCAGCTGCAGGCTTTCCTGCAGGATTTCTACGAGGTTCTCCTTGGTTGGAGTGGGGAGTGGTTGTGCTTGGTGGGGAAGGAGTTGCCCCAGGAAAAAGCCACCCTTCCCCGGGGCAGCCCAGAGGTGAGGTGGACAAGCACCCTAGGCAGCAGAGCCTGGTCCTCCCTGTGTGCCCAGGTGGCCACATGGCTGAGGGAGAAGAACCTGGTGGCCCTGGAAGAGGGCTGGCGGGACCCAGCCGGGCTGCAGGCACAGTGGCGGAAGCAGCAGAATCTCCAGGCCGAGCTGGATGCGGGTGTACACCACCAACAAAGGCTGCAGACGGTGAGGCCCTGGGGGCCCGGGCCAGGCTTACTGGCCAGAGCAGGGCAACCCCACAGAGCCCTGGCAACTGGCTCTGAACCACAGCAGTGGATGGCGAAGTCTCAGTGGATGGCGAAGTCTCAGTGAATGCTTTCTGTATACAGACGCTGTACTAAGCACCAAAGGGTAGTGAGTCACAGAGGCTTCCCTGGGGCACCCTCTCCAAAAATGGTGCCTTTTCAAGAATTTCAAAGATAGTGTTTTGATGTGATGGTTTTGAAAACTCTCTTGGAAAGACAGAGAGTCAGGGCCCAGCCAGAAGTCCTGTGGGTGCAGGAGTCAAAGTACAGCACCTTTTTTATTTACCCTCTTCCACCTACAAAGGGTAGGCCCTGACCCCAGGCCCCCTCAGTCTAATATAAGTATTTGAAATGTTTTCTCTCGTTTAAACAAAATAACCACTATTGTCTCCATTATGTGGCTAAGAAAAATGAGCTCAGAGAGGTTAAGGAACTTGCCTGAGAATCACACAGCTAGCACACAGACTGCAGCCATGGGGCTGATAGTTGGAGCCAACACAAGGGCCCTGATACCAGCAGTCCTGACTCCATGAGGTGTGTGCCATGTTGTGACTATAGGAGGGGCAGAGGCTGCTGCAGGAAGGCCACCCGGCCTCAGAGACCATCCAGGAGCACCTGCAGGAGCTGAGAAAGCTTTGGGAGGAGCTGCAGGCCAACTGCCAGAGGAAGGCAGTCAAGCTACAGGAGACCTGTGAGGTGAGGTTGTGGGCTACAGAGCAGGCTAGATGCAGCTCTAGGCCTCTCCCCTGCATGCCCCCACCTCACATTCTGCCTCAGGCCCAGCGTCTGCGGCGGAGTGTGGAGGAACTGGAGAGCTGGCTGGAGCCCGTGGAGGTCAAGCTGAGGGCCCCCATCGGGGGCCTGGACCAGCCTGGGCTGGACGAGCTCCTAGGGGCACAGGGAGAGCTGGAGGCAGCAGTGGACAGGCAGGCCGGTCGGGCACAGGCCCTGCTGGGCCAGGCCCAGGCCTTTGTGCGGGAAAGCCCCAGCCTCACCCAAGACTTGGAAGAGCAGTTCCAGCGGCTGCTTCAGAGGTAGATCCATCCCTCCTCCCTGCCCCTCACTCATCTCCCCAGGGCCTCCCCCAGCCAGCCCATGATGAGGGGCACAGGGTGGGTCAGAGTCTGGCCATCATAGTGACGACCAGGGTCCCCCACCCTGGTCCCGCCCTCCACTGCTGCAGGTTCGAGGGCCTGAGGGAGCCCCTGCGGGAGCGCAGGACAGCCCTGGAGGCCCGGAGCCTCCTCCTGCAGTTCTTCAGGGACGCTGATGAGGAGCTGGCCTGGGTGCGGGAGAAGCTGCCCCTGGCTGCCTCACGAGACTGCGGCCAGAGCCTGAGCACCGTGCGGCACCTGCAAGAGAAGCACCAGGTGTGGGCCCGTTAGGAAGGGTGGGGCCATCCTCCATCCGCCACTGGTGCTGGGAGCTTCCTGCCTCCAAAAGGCTTTTGGGGCCTTAGATTCTTTGCTGGTCACAAGGACAAGGTTCTCTTTGGGGACGTCTGTGGGATCCCACGAGGTTTCAAACACAGCTCTGGGTCCCCTGAGGAGCACCCAGGAGCATCCCCGGTCCTGTCTCTGCAGAACCTGGAGAGTGAGATGAGCAGCCACGAGGCTCTGACCCAGGCGGTGCTGGGCACAGGGCGCAAGCTGGTGCAGGCTGGGCACTTTGCCGCCCGCGACGTGGCTGCCCGGGTGCAGCAGCTGGAGGATGCCGTGGGCCGCCTGCGGGCAGAGGCTGCACAGAGGCGGCGGAGGCTGCAGGAGGCTCAGGAGGCCCAGCAGTTCCTGACAGAGGTGAGGGGTGAGGTGGGGCCGGGCAGGAGAACACCCAAGGTGTAGGCAGGCCTGGAGGGTAACCCCCGGCTGGGGCTCCAGGCTCTCTGTGTGTTTTCTGTCACCCCCACTGAGTCGTTTCCTTCAGCTTGTTTCCCAGAAAACAGCCCCCCGGATTTGGGTTGGTTTTGCTTTTCTGTTTCTTCTAAACCAGTGATTCTTAGTCAATGCTTTACGTGAGAATTACCTGGAACCCTGGAGAAATGCTGATTGCTACCCAGGCTCCCTTCCAGACCAGATCAGAATCTTATGGGGGGAGAGCCAGGCATAGGGAGTTGTTGAGGCTCTCAGGTGATCCCAGTCAGCCAGGCTGAGAACCACTCACTGCTCTAAATCTCAAGGTCATGAACTCAAAGTTGAGAGCCCTGGAGGGTATCACCCAGGGAAAACTGTCCCCTTTGTCACCCCAGCTCCTGGAGGCAGAATCCTGGCTGGAAGAGCAGGGCTGTGTCCTGGACACGGAGGAGATGGGCCAGAGTGCCGAGGCCACTCAAGCCTTTCTGCGGAGGCTGGACACCACCAGGAGAAAGTTGGAGGCATTCAGTCCTCGCATCGAGAGGCTGCAGCAGAGAGCTGCCCTCCTTGAGAGCAGGCCGAACTCAGAAAGGTGGGTCGTTGCCAGGACCAAATAGGGAGGAGAGGCAGGGCCCCTCCTGTCCCTACAGAGGCAGAAGGCTGATCTAGCCTGGAGAGGAAGCGCTCTAATGGGTTGTCCTTCCTGCCGCAGCCCTAAGGTGCTTGCCCAGATGCGCGCAGTGAGGGAGGCCCACTCGGGGCTGCTGCAGAGAGCGGAGTGCAGGGGGCAAGGCCTGCGGGAGCAGCTGCAGCTCCACCAACTGGAGCGGGAAGCCCTGCTCCTGGACGCCTGGCTGGCCAGCAAAGTGGCCTCTGCTGAGTCCCAGGACTATGGGCAGGACCTGGAGGCCGTCAAGGTGAGTCACTCCTGAGTGAACCTGGAGGACAGTGGATCACAAGGGCAAAGAGGGAGGGTGAGGGGGGAGCAGATGGGAAGTGGGGGCCTCTGGGCAGATCCCTGCAGTTCTTGAGGCAGAGCCTCAGGACGTCAAAAGTGGCCGATTCTGCCAAGCCCTTCGTCAGCGTTGGGAGCTGCAGGATACCACACCTCCAGAGTGACCCTCCCTGGCCCTACACCCTGCAGGTGCTGGAACAGAAGTTTGATGCTTTCAGAAAGGAAGTCCAGAGCCTGGGGCAGGCCAGGGTGCAGGCCTTGCGGGAGCGGGCAGGCTCCTTGGAACGAGCAGCCCCCAGGTGCTCTCCCCAGATTCAAGTGCACCGGAGCCGCGTTGAGGCCACTTGGGAGAGGCTGGACAGGGCACTGAAAGCCCGCACACAGGTGGGTGCCTCCAGACCAGACCAGGGGCAGCCGAGGGGTGGGGACATCTGTGCCTTCTGTCTGGGCCAGGGACAGCAGACCCACCAGTTCAGTTGGGTTTGGGTGTGGGTGGGTGAGTGGAGGGAGGTGTCTGCCTCTAACTCCCAGTGCCAAGCAGATCAAGAGGCTCAAAATCTTCCACCTCCAGCCCCCTCTGAGTCTTTGTACCAACTTGGTTTCCTCCTTGTGCAGTTGACACCTCCAGGGAGAAAGAGCATGTCTGGCCAACATCTGACCCCCTCTAAACCCCCAGCTAAACTGAAGCAGGCTTCAGTTTCATTAAGACACATGCCTCTTTGGTGTCTCCTTCACCACACAAGCTCACTGGGTGAGGTCTCATCCTCATGCTCTGAGTGGATCTGTACGCCAAGGAAATCCTCAGTGTTCCCCTATCACCTTAGCTCTCAGCCAGAGCTGTTTCTAGAAAAGCAGCCCAGATCCCTGAGCCCCTGCCAGAGCCTGCAGCCCAGGGAGGCTGTCTCTGAGAGTCCTGACTGGGCAGCCTCCTGAGCAGACCCTCTTCTCCTCAACCAGATCCCCCAAACCAACTTCCTCCCTCACATGGACCCATTCCCGCCTGCTTCCGAGTCTCCACCTCTGCCTTCCTCATAAGTATGCACTGAAGACCCTCTCCTCACAGAATGTCCCCTGGGGCCCCACCACGTGTCATCAGCAACATCACACATTCACTGAGTGGCTGCCACATCTAGGACATTTTCTGCACCTGGTGCTCATGGAAGAGTCACCAATCCCCGTGGACTTGTTGGTTACCAGGGGGAGAGGGAAGGGGAGAGGGGCAAGACACGTGTGAGGGACTGAGAGGTACAAACTATTAGGTACAAAATAAGCTACAAGTATATACTGCACAACACTGAGAAATAGCCAATATTTTATAATAAGTATAAATGGAGTATAACCTTTATAAATTGTAAACTACTACATTGTACACCTATAACCTATATAATATTGTACACCAACTATACTTTAATTTAAAAATAAGTAAACAATTTTGAAAAATAAGGAAAAAATAAAAGGAGGTAGCCCAGGAGGCCATGTCTCCAGGAAGAGAGGACCGTGGCCAGAGCAGGCCCTCCCTTCTCTCCCAGAACCTGGCTGCAGCCCGGGAGGTCCGCGGCTTTGAGCAGGTGGCAGCCGAGCTCCGGGGCTGGATGCAGGAGAAGGCCAGCCTGATGGCAGGAGATGCCTGTGGCCACAGCCTGTCGTCGGTGCAGACCCTGCAGCAACAGCACAGATGCCTGGAGGTGAGGATCCACATGCCACGGCCTGCCCGTCTCAGCCCCTCCCTGAAGGCGGGGGGACGGGAGGGCCTGCCTCCCAGGTTGTGGAGCAGTCTGGAAGCAGAACCAGCTCCCCAGAGGGACTGGGTGCTCCCTGAAGAGGAGCAGGCATCAGGTGCCGGGGGGTGAGGCCTGATCATGTGTTCTGGCGGCAGAGGGAACTGACAGCCGTGGAGAAGGAGGTGGCACAGGTGCCAAGTGAGGCCTGCCGGCTGGGCCAGCTACACCCCGAGGCTCAGGAGGGCCTGGCCAAGCAGCTGGCTGAGGTGCAGAAAGCCTGGGCCAGCCTGAATGTGAAGGCCCAGGAGCGGGGTCAGCAGCTGGAGCAGGCTGCCCAGGGCCACGCCTTCCTCGGACGCTGTCGGGAACTGCTGTAAGTGGGTCCTCCCCGGCTGTTGGCTTAGCTCTCCCCTGCAGCGTCACCCCAGCTCTCTGGGGAGCTACAGTCCTCAGCCCCTTGTGCAGCTCCTGCCCTGCTCCACCCCCCTCCCCACCCCACAGGGCTCCTGGCCCTGACAGCAGCTTCCACTCCCTGCCCACAGAGCATGGGCTCAGGAGAAGCAGGTGATGGTGTCTTCAGAGGAGCTGGCTGGGGATGTGACTAGAGCTGAGCAGCTCCTGGAGCAGCATGAGGAGCTGGGGCGAGACATCAAGGAGCACTGCCTTCAAGCCCAGAATGTACGGCAGGAAGGGCAGCAGCTGGTGGACAATAGCCACTTCATGTCCTTGGAAGTATGAGCACTGAGATGAGTCTGGGGCTGAGCTGGGCACAGAGCCCAGTTACCCAGGGCTTCGGAACCCCCAGCAGAAGGGGAAAGCCAGGAAAGAGGTGGGGAGAGAGGGCAGAGAAGAGGACGGTCCAGGCCTCAGGGTCTTCCCCGACACCTCTCCTGGGCACTCTAGCCCCGCCCTAACGGGCGCTCTGGCTGAGCATCCCACCCACGGCGCCCTCCCACCAGGTGACCCAGTGTCTGCAGGAGCTGGAAGGGCGGCTGCAGGCGCTCGAGGAGGCCTGGGTCCTGCGCCAGGGACGCTGTGAGGAGAGCTGGCATCTGCGGAAGCTGTGGCAGGGGATGGATCAGGCCGAGGCCTGGCTGGCCTCCCGGGAGGGCCTCCTGCTGGACCCCAACTTCGGGGTGAGCTGGGGCCCTGCCCCTTAGCCAGCTGCACTGACAGCCACAACCAAGGGCGGATCCCATGGCTCCTCTGCTCACTGACCCCTGGGCCAGGCTGTGGAGGGTGAGGGGAAGGCTCTCTGTGCCCCCAGGAGCCGGGCCTCACCCTGGCTGCCTTCTCCCCAGCACTCAGTGGCAGACGTGGAGTTGCTGCTCTGCAGACACCAGGACTTTGAAAAGCTGCTGGCTGCCCAGGAAGAGAGGTTTGCCCAGCTTCAGAGGAAGGTGAGGGTGAGCAGAAGCTGGGTGTCCTAGGAGGCAGGGGCCTGGGGACCAATGGTGGCAGCGATCCTGGTCTTAGCCCGAGAGTTGGCTTATCCGCAGGCACTGAGCCCGCACCTGACCCTTCAGGAGAGCGCTGCTCTTCCCTTGCCAGCTACGGTGTCCTGTCACCCCCACCTCCTGGTGAGCTAGGGCGCCCTGTGGCCTGGGACGAGAGGGAAGTCTCTTGAGCCAAAGCAGGAAGAGCTGAAAAACGAGGAGGCAGGGGCTCCCTCTGGGTGGGAGCGCCGTGGGGAGGAGGGGCTGGGACACAGAGCCCACGGGAACCCTGACCTGCCCCCCTTCTCCTCTCCCCAAGATGGACCAGAAGCTGCTGCAACAGGTGAAGGGGCTGCAGCCCGAGAGAGTTGGCAGTGGGCCAGCCTCCCTCCAGCAGAGTTTCTCAGGAAGCTGGTGGCCTGGAGCACAGCTGGCTGGGACAAGGGACCTGCAGCCAGACATCCCTGTTGGGCCGCACATAACCTTGGCCACCACTGTCTCCCTGGAGCGCGCAGCCGGGGCCGTAGGGGTAAGGATGCAAAGGGTACCCCCACCACGGAGGGATCTTCGGAGGAGCTTAAGTAGCAGCTCCTGCCGCGGGGTAGGAAGGTAAGTGCCCAGAGATTCCTTCTGCTGCAGCTCCCTCCACAGGACCGCTGGAGGCCTCGGAAGGCACAGGGCCTGGCGCCCTGGCGTTGTGGTGGACACGCTCCCCGCCACAACAGTCTGGCTCCCTGGGGCCACTTCACAGCTTCTGCCCTCACCCAGGACGGGGTGGGCCCCCTTCCTCCTCCTGGGTTCCCTGGAAGTCGCTCCTTGGCTCCCGCTTCCCCGTGGGCTCCTTGGTCCAGCCTAGCACCTGCCCTGGGAGCCTCTGCAGACACAGGCTTTGACAAGGCTGGTGTGGCCTCACCGCCTTCTCTCCACAGCCCAGCTTGAGCCGCCGGCACAGCTGCCGTGGGGCCTTGGGGGACAGCTGCCGGAGCCTGTCCTGGGATGAGAGGGCGGTGGCAGAGGTACCAGGCAGTGGGCGGACGGGCACAGGACAGAGGCCCCACAGGGGAAAGCAGGGATGGCCGTGGTAACCCCTGCCTCTCATCTCTCCTCAGAACGTGGCTTCCACAGCCTCCTTTGACCTCACAGAAGCCCAGTGTGAGAGGCCAAGGGACCACTATGATGGAAAAGACACCTCCTTAAGGTGAGGGCCGAGTCAGGAGAGAGATGCTGGCCCCCAGACATGCTAACTCAGCTGGCATGGCCTCCCCAGAGCAGCTGAAGGGGCTGGAGGCAGGGTCCTCTGCCTGGGAGGCAGGCTTTGACCTATGGCTGTCTGGGTGGCAGGCTGTCTGGGATGGAGACCCTGTTTGCAGCACCATCTGAAGGGCAGGCTGAAAGCCAGCATCACGCCCTGAGCAGCATGGCAGGTAGGCTCCAGGGGAAGCCTGGGGGGGCGCAGGGGGCTTTGATTCCCTGGGCCCCAAGCTGCTGGTGTTTAACGCATCCTCAGAAGTTTCGTATCTGGTACTTCTGTAGTCTGAGAGGTAAACAGGACTTGTCTTTTCTCAATTTAAGGCTCAGAGAGGGTAAGCAACTAACTAAAGATCACAAAGCTAAATTAGTAGCAGAGGTGAGGCCAGGCTCGACCCCCTGGCTGCCTCCTAGTTCTGTTTCACCCATTTTGGAGTCTGCCTCCCCTGAGACCTTCCTTCAAGGATCCTTGTGGGCTTCCCCAGGCTCTGCTCTGTCTGGCTGAGGCCTTTTCTAACCTTCTAGTCTTAAAACAGCTCTGAATGCACCTCCCTTGGGGGTATCTTGTAGACAGTAGCCAAGCCCAGTTCTACCAGGAGGGAAACACAGAACGCACCCCAGCACCCCCTAGACCAAAAGCCCCTTGTCATTGTGGTCTGACAGGCTCCAAGTGGAGAGTGTTCAGGGGCCCCACCCAGGAGTCCCTCTGGGTTGCTGGCTCTATGCGTCAGTTTGTTCCCCTGGGAGCTCCCTGAGGCTGTCCTTCCAGAATCCCAAAGAGAACCGAGTTTCTTTAGAATCTCCTCCAGGCTAAGCCTTTCCGGGACCATCAGCATTCCGTCTCCCAGGAGGCCGGGTGCACTGGGGGAGCCTGCCCTGTGTGCCCCGCCTGGGCTGCACCCCTCATCGGGGGCGAGGCTTGGTGTGTGCCTCTGGGTGCCTCTTAGTCTGTTTGGGCTGAGGCAACAAGTAGACCACAGGCTGGGTAGGTTAAGGACCACAGATGTTTATTTCTCACAGTTCTGGACGTTGAGAAGTCCAAGGACAAGGCGCCAGCAGGCTGGGTGTCTGGTAAGTGCCCTCCTGCAGGCTGCAGATGTCGCCTTCTTGCTGTGTCCTTGCAGGGTGGAAGGGGGGAGGCTGCTCTCTGAGGTCTCTTTTATAAGGGCTCCACCCTCAGGACCAGATCACCTCCTGAAGGCCTCTCCTCCTAATACCATCACCTTGGGGTTAGGATTTCAACATATGAGGTTGAGGAGGACATGAACACTGAGGCCGTGGCAGGGAGGCTGCAGCTGAGCATACAGCCCAGGATGACTGTGTTCTTCTTTGCTCTGCAGCCCCTAGTCTGAGCCCAGAACTTCGAGCCGGACCCCTGGGCTTCCCGGCTGAGCAGGCTGCTGCGAGGGGCCCCAGCACGGCCGCTCCGCTCAGGTAGGGCACCCAGGTGTGTGGGTGGGAGTCCTGAGCCCCCACGACAGGCACAGACTCTGCCCTCCTAAGCCCAAGGTCCCAGGACCCAGACCTACGCTGGACGGTGTGGGGCCAACCTCCACCCCGACTCTCAGCAGAGGCAACGGAGTCCGGACCCTGAGGCTCCCTTTCCCCACAGATTCCATGGCTGTCCCCTGCCCTCCTCACTGAGGGAGATGCCCGTGTGCACTGACAGCCACCTGCAGCCCGAGGAGCTCCCGCAGGTGGCTGGCCCCGTAAAGGAAAGTGCACCAGGCTCCTAGCGGCTGTCCCACCCAGGCCAGACCACGGCAAGGGCACATGCCAGGAAGCCTGCCCGGGGCCCCACACACCTCCCTCCTCGGCCTCCTCCACTCCTTCCTCTTCAAGATGGGGCACTGCTGACAGGACAGCTAGACCCCTCTTGCACCCTTGCCTCCATCCTCCTGTGCTTTCCCCAGTCCAAGGACCAGGTCCCTGCTCCAAGGGGGAAGGGAGCCTTACTGTCCCAGACAGGCCGGGAGTGGATGTCACCGAGGCACACACGCACAACAGACATACAGACACCGATGTGCGCAGAGACACACACACGGGCCCGTACCTGAGGGAGCACTCACATCAAAACGGGTCGCAGCTACAGCTGTGGTCTCTGGTGTAACTGTCCACCTGCTCCTGCAGGACCACAGGCTCCGATTTATGATTCAGATGATGTGCTGTTCCGTGAACAGGCCTTGTCCTGGATACAGTGGCTTCTAAGGTTATCAGGGCTGCCATTCATTCTGCTCAGAGTCTAGCCACATGCCCGGGGCAGACACATGCAGTGAGTGGGGTCATGAGACCCAGTCATCTCCCATCCATCCCACATGTAACGGCCACTTGTGCCTCTCAGCTCCCAGCGTCCTCATCCCACATCAATGGTAGGAGCAGGTGCGGTTTTCCAAGGGAGGCTTAGGGCACCAGTACTAGAAGATTCTGGAGCAGCTATGCCCTAAATTCACTCCACCTCCCTATTTTCCCAACAGGTTGGGCCCCGAAGCAAAAAACCCTGTGGCACCAAACCTGAGGGCTGCAAGTGAGGACACCCTTGAGGGGACCAGGAGACTCAGCTACCAGGCCCCTCAGGACCAACTTCTGGAATAGACAGTTCCCTGTTAGAAGACAGGCCCCACCAATGTCACAGCTTGCTGAAGTCACAAAGTTATCACTGGCCTCTTTCCTTGGCTCCTCTGGCCCCAGGTCTGGACACCCCTACCATGAGACAGGCAGCAGCCCTTTGAGTCCCTGGGTGAGGAGGACAGGAGTGATGGCCGTCATGGCCTGTGAGTCTGCTCCCCGGAGCAGAGCTAGGCCTGCAGACGCAAGGCCACCAGCCCGAACTGGCTTCCTCTCTGGCCTGAGTGGAGCAGACACGGCAGTCCTGGGGAAGCCCAACCAAGCTGACTTGCCAGCTCTGTAAGTTGCCAGAGATGTTTTGTTTTCTAAACCAGTTCTCAGCATGTGTAACCAAGAGCCTGGAATGATACATGTCCCTCTTGGCAGCAGTGACAGTAATCTCCATAACGCCTCGTGGTTGTGTGAGCCTCTGTAATACAAGAAATGCTCTATTTCACTCTGCACAGCTACTCAAGGTAGCCAGGAAGGGAAAGCACACACAGGCCCTGGCCTTTGTGCTCTTACAAATATGGCCAATCCTGCCCGCTCTCCCCCCGCTGCCACAGAATCTCTGCATTTTCTCTGGCCACAGCATGGAGACCAAAACCTGAGGAGAGAGAGTCCAGCCCCTGTTTAAGACCCTCGCCCTACCCAAGGGTGTCGGCTTCAGGGCCGTGGCTGTGGTGCCGGGTACCACAAATGTGCCGTCCAAACCCCCAGCAGCTCTGGAACTTGTCGATGATGGTCTCCACCCCGACTCAACTGGAGAAGCAAGGCGGCCGGAGAGTGAGCCTTAAAAACGAATCAGGGGCCATGGGGGCCAGGCTAGAGCCGCAGGCCAGGGCACAGCAGCCTCCCCGCCCATCACTCCGGGCCGGCACCGCAGGCGCTGCCTCCGCCGCTGCACGGCCTCACGCAGGGCCTCCAGCAGCCGCTCCTGGTTGTTGCAGATGTTGTAATGCGTCAGGCGGAGCAGCTTGTCTGCATCCTCCTGGCTGTAGGTCACCTTCGAGTAGTGGTAGGGGGAGTCGGATGAAGACAGGTTCACCTCCCCGGCCTCCTGTTCCTCGGCTGTCCGCCGGACCCCTGTGGAGAGAATGCAGCCTGGGCATGGGCGCAACCGCTGGGGGCGGGGGGTGGGGGACAGTGACTCACCAGGGGCCGAGTGCTCCCGGAACGAGGCATTGACCAGCGGGAAGTGCAGCACGGCGGGGGCATCGGGGCAGGCAGGGTCAGAGAAGAGGTGGCACTCCCGGGGCTGGCACTGCTCCTCTGGGCTGGGCGAGACGGGTGGGAACGGGATGCCCTGCTCCTGGCAGAACTGGCCCAGGAGCTGCAGCTGCTGCAGGGCGAACAGAGGCGGTGTCAGTGGGATGGGCCTGCATGGGCTCCTGTGTCCTCCACGCTGCGCTGATGGAACGTGGAGAGCCACTAAGACATGGAACTGAGTGCCCAGATGCCAAGTCAGACTCTCGTGGACCCAACAGGCCAGACTTGACTTAAAAAAATGCTCTAAACCTTGTAGCCTGTCTACAGCAGCTCCTCTGGGCTCAACCAAGCTGGGCTGCTAACAAACCCCAGGTTCTGCAGTTGGGAGACAAAAATCTTCATTGGGCCAGCAGAAACTCAAAGCAAGGAGTTCTAGAGGTCCAGGACCAAACGGGGTGCAGAGATAGCAAAGCAGACCCAGACAGGATACATTTTAAAGCACTGCCAGCTTCCCCATCACTACTCCCCTGGTGGTGAGTTCAGATTCCACAGCCTTCCGTTCACAGGGTCGTGTCACAGCCCCCAAGGGAAGCTGGCCCAGAAACCGGACTCCTAAGCAAATCTATCCAGAGGCAGGAGTCGGGATGCTTCTGGATTGCCACCCCCTCCCAAGCCTGCCCCCAGCCCACCTGAAAGGCTCCATGGAGGTTGTAGTCCAGTGACAGGATGAGGTCCACGTCCCGTGTGGGCCGCAGGAGGGGTGGGCAGCTGGTGTTGACAAGGTAGCCAACATCCAGCAGGCAAAGGTAGGGCTCTGCAGGTGTCAGCTCATTGGGGAGGCCATCCAGCTTGGCGGCTGGAAAGGTAGGGGGTCGGGTGGAGAGCAGCTGTCACTGGTGCTGAGCACCAGCCCCCTCCAGCCTAACACCAGCTCCTTGCTGCTGAGGGAGGAAGGCCCTGCCCTCCAGCTCCTGCTCAATCCTGCCAAAGCAGCACCTCAATTCCTGAGGTCTCACGGATGGGCCCTGACCCCAACATAAGGAGAGTAAAAAGGGTTCCAGCTCCAAGCAACCCAGGGAACTGAGCTCAAAGGGCTTGGGGCTGAGGGGTTGGAGAGTGCACATGTCTGGACCAGGGACCCAAGGCTCAGGCGACCATGGGAAGACTTTGAAGAGCTGGGACCAGGAAGAGAAAAGCAGACACCTTTCCAGGAAGAGAAGTGAGGATGGTGGAAATAGTCCTTGTGGAAAGAGAGGCCATGCAGGAAATTGTGGGTGGCCTGGGCAAGTGGACGCCGCGTCAGAAGGTCAGTGAAAAACTCAGCTATCCTGCCAGCCACTGTGGGAGGTTCTTCTATCTTCAGAAGGGGAACCTGCTCCTTGTCTGCAGTCAAGAAGGAGGAACAGGGATCCCTGGACCTTTAGTCTGGCCTCTATGGACTCCCAAAGGCCTGAGATCCCCCTCCTCCCCAAATACAGCTCCACTCGCTGCCTCTCCCATCCAGGTGAGGGAGCCTGGACACCTACCCAGGCTGGCCTGATCCTGTGCCCAGCGGTCCCAGAACTGGCTGGGCTCTGAGGACCAATATAAGCTGTCCTGGAGGTTGGCTGCATACAGGTTGCTCCAGATACCTGAGAAGGAGACACGAGTGGGAGAGTCCCCCACTTTGTTGCAACCTGACCCTCCCCCAACCCACCCAGGGACTGAGCTGGGAAGGCAGAGCCCACCATTCCACTCAGGCCCATTCTCCCCACTACCCCAGCTTCCCCAGCCTCCCAGACCCCTCACCTTCCAGGAAGCAGATGCGGGACTCAGGAAGCTGCTTTGTCAGGCGCCCCATGAAGAACTCGGAGCCAAAGAGCTCAGCGGGGATGAAGGCACCGTACTTGGGAAAGCCGACCTCGTAGGGGGAGAACTCGCACCACTCTGTGAAGAGGCCACACGGACTCACCGTGGGGCCCAGAACCTGAGGACCCTGGGCACCAATGCACCCACCACAGGCCTCGTGACAGGCAGCCTGGTGACCAGGAGGCTCAGCCTTGTTGCTGGCACCCTGAGTGTTGGACCTACGGCCCTTGGCCCCATCCCAAAGCTGAGTGACTCCAGTAGGATGACAGGCTCTGGAAAGCATGGGGCCAGGCCCAGAAGTGCTAGGTGTGACGCCCACTTTCATACACAGGCCCAGCTACCTCTCATCCTGCCAACTGCAAGAGCACGGGCCTCAGCTCTGGGGCTACTTACCCCCAAATTCAAAGGTAGTCAGGTTCCGTTCCTTGGTGTTGAGAGCACAGTAGATGGGCAGAGGGTTCTGGCCACGACTTAGGGCCTCCCGCTGGTCTGAGAGTTTGTGGTCATGGGGCTAGGGGAAGATAATTTGAACCAAAAGCCATGGCTTCCCAGGGCTTTTTTCCACCCCCGATGCCCAAGGCTGCTCTCCAGCCCTGGACCTGGCCCTTTGGTGGCCGGCCACCCCCCATCACCCGCCCCCCAACAACTCCCCGCCCTAATCACCTCCCCAGCCACACCCCTCCCCGCACCTCGCCGTGCAACAGTGCCTCGTTGATGAGGGCCCACAGGTTGGTGAAGCAGTTCGGGTAGCCCAGGCGGGCACGCTCAGCCAGCTCCTCCCGATACCGCTGCAGCTGCCTGGGGGCCAGCACGTCCAGCTTGCTCTTGGTCACCTGGGCCTTCACTGACTCAATGGGCCCTGCCAGGTCCTTCTGAGACCACTCTGGGTCCTCGTAGAGGCTAGCCAAAGCCCTGGGAAAAGCCAAAGCCAGAGGGATCATCACTCAAGGGCCCCGTCATAGGCCTTGGGCTCTGTACCCTAGGACAAGAGTCTGACAAGCACCATCCAGGGGCCCGGGTCCACTTGAACACGTTTCTCTCTGGCACGTGCATTCTCCCAGCCCTTCCAAGTTGGTCAGGGAGGCCTGTGGAGTCTAGGAGAGCCGTACCACCACACCCTCCTGCCAAGACCCAATTAGCCACCCCCAGGTTCCAGCACTCGACCTGCTGCCAGCTCACCAGGTGGAGCCAGAGGCCCCTGTGATGTAGGAGATGCAATCCAAGAGGCCCAGCTCCTTCAGGCCGGCCAGCTGCCCATACAGGGAGGTCATGGCCCGGATTCCACCACCAGTGGCCATAACAGCTACCACTGGGATCTGGAAGAGAGAACAGCCAGGCTCAGAGAGGCCTTAGGAAGATGGAAGGCCATGCCACAGGAGAGGAGGTAGCAAGCCAAGAGGCGACTCAGCTCACCCATAGCTAAGGCTGGTCAAGATCTGATCACGGCTTTTGGGACCAGTTCTAGTCAGGCCTCCTAAGAAGGGTCTAGTCAAAAGTAACCTTGCGAGGGTAAGGCCTGTCTGGTTTTAAGAACTCCAGGAAGAACGGACAAGTTCCAGTCCTCATCTCCTCACCTCCAGCCCCTGAGGAGTTTGGTGGTTGCTTTCTTGAAGCCCCTGGGCCCCCAGGTCCCCCACATGGCCACCCCTCTCCCTCTCGCAAGGAGAGGTCATTTCCTTAGGAGATGCACCAGGTCGATCCAAACCTCCAGGGACTGCCCTGGACCAGCCGGTGGCCCTCAGGCTGTATGTCTCACTGATCCATCAGACTGGGCCTAGTCTCAAAATCTGGACCAGGCCAGGAATCAAGAAACAATGAGAAGAAAAGCTAGCCCAGCGAGGCAGCTTGAAAGCTGCAGGTGCCTCAT